TATCAAGGAAGTTAGACATGTCTATTATAAATGTTGGGTATCTAATTGGCTTACCTTATAGCTGAGCCAGAAGGCAGACACTAAATAAAGAAAACCTCTTGGCTCACAATGACATACTGTCTTTGTACATCTTTCAATCGGAGAAAGATAATGGCCACGTATGATTTTAGGCAAGACTGCTGATTTGCAGTCTCTTCAGGAAATTGTAGTGTTTCCGAGGACAATATTCCTAGTCAAAATAGATTAAGCCTGAAGCCAAAGTGATGACCACAGTCAAAGTTAATGATACTGTGTGTTTGGCTGGAAACAACTGGAAGAAAATAAGTTATCGTAGTAGACAGTCTACTCTATAATCCCTCTTTTTTTCCCAGGTCCTTGTCACCAGTGGGATGGAAGAAAATAAAGTTTCTCTTTGAGTACTTTGTATTATGTTTGCAGATGGGCAGAAAAACTACTCACTCTGATGAAATGGAGTATAGAGTAGGAGGGATGTACCTAGGTTTTAGAGGAAGACTTGGTCTTTCCTCACTCAGTTTTAAGTTTTCAAAGAATGCAAGGTAGCTCTGTAACATTCTCTGGGGTACAGAAGGGGGACATGCTGCTCTCTGGTAGCTAAGGGCAACCAGCTTAACAGAGGAGATGAGAAAGTAAGGCTTATCTTATAAAGATGGGGGCTATCAAGATTATTAGTCCACCAGCAATCTACTTCTGGGTATAGACCCAAAAGAATTGTAAGCAGAGACTCCAAGAGATATTTTTACGCTTATGTTTATAGTAGCATTATTCACAAAAGCCAAAAGATGGAAGAAACCCAAGTGTCCATCCACAGATGAGTGGAGAAACGAATGTGGCATATACATACAAACAATGGACTATTAGCCTTAAAAAGGAAGGAAATTCTGACCCATGCTGTAACATGGATGAATCTTGAGGACATTGAGCTAAATGAAATAAACCAATCACAAAAAGATTAAACACTCTATGATTTTATTTTTGTGAAATAGCTAGAGTAGTCAAATTCATAGAGTCAGAAAGTAGAACGCTGGTTTCCAAGGATGAGAAGGGAGAGGGGAAATGAGGAATTATTGCTTACTGGGAACAAGGATTTGGTTTGGGAAAACAAACAAACAAAACTTTCTGGGGATGCTGGTGGTGGTGGTAGCGTAATGTAAATGTACTTAATGCCATGGAGCTGTACACTTAAAAATGGTTAAAATGAAAAATCATATGCTAATACTAAAAAAAAAAAGATTATTAGGCCAAAGAGTGGTGAGGGTGGTGTTATTGAGGTGACGGAGGTAAAGGAGATGAGAAGAAAAGAGACACAGCCCTGAATAAGATTTCCTAACTATGTTATCGTATGCAAATGATTTTAAAGTAAAAGTAAGTCTTGCCAGGTGATAATAATTTGTTGTGTGCTTACCAATCACCAAGGATTAGCCGAAGCACCTTATGTTATACATTAACTCATTTCTTCTTCACAAGAGCCCCATGGAGGTGGGTACTACTGTTCTGCCTTTTTGAGATTTAGCAAGATTAACCATCTGCCTAAGGCGTGGAGATGATGAGTGTCCACAGCCCCAGGAGCCAAAGCCAGGATGTCTGAGGAGTCCAGTGGTTCTCAAACATTAGTGTGCATCCGAATCCCCTGTGGGGCTTGTTAAACCAAGATTGCTGGACCTTACCCTTGGAGTTTCTGAGTCACTAGGTGTAGGGTGGGGGCCAAGGATTTGTATTTCTAACAAGTTCTCCCAAGGATGTTCATGTTGCTGACTGGGGACCACACTTTGAGAATGAGTGCACCAGCCTATGTTCTTACCCACCACAAGGTAATAGTAAAAGGAAGGACTTGCTCTGTGCAAGAGAACCCTGGGGGAAACACGCAGGGTAACTCGACGTGTTGATAGGAGCCAGAGTGGCTCGGGGAGTGAGAAGCAGAGTTCACTACCCTGCGTCAGCTGTGCCACCCTCTGCTGCAACACAGGGGCAGCTGCTAATCTCCGCCAGCAAGGCGTGAGTTTTCAGGTCTTTTTCCCAGGATGCAATGAACAAAGTTTGATGGAATCATACATTCTCATCATTTCCTTTCCTCTAATCTATCCAAATCTTCCACGTCCTTCGAGCTCAAGATGAAATCCCATCTGAGATTGATCCCTCGGCCCTCACAACTCAGATGTATTTAAACTCAATGTTACACAAGTTAACATTTAATTATTCCTTAATCGATTTATGTGCTTTTGTCTTTCTTCCCCAGCTAGCTTTAAAGCTTTCTGAGGTCAAGGATAGTGGCTTCTATTTATGTAGGTTTTCCAATATGGTTAGAACAGTCTTAGTCTAGATGTATAATCAATGATTGCTGAAAAAAATTGCTTAACAAGTTAGAGATTACAATTACATCAGTATTGATAAAAATCAGAGTAGGAATATAATGCAAGTATTTCAGAGAACTAAATGCTGGTTAGCTGCTGGCAGACCTGTTGCTAGTCCAAACGGTGACTTCTATAGAGGCACCTGTGCTCCAGACAGCTAACTGACATCCACACAAGTCTAAGAAGCCTATGAGGGGATGGGTGTGCCCTGAAATTGTGCAATGCACACCTTGCACAAGTCATGTCCCTGTGCATTGGGTGGATCGTACAGGCACATTGCTCCCTTTCAAGGCAGGTGATATCCTTATAAATATTAATTCTAACAACTCTCCCATAATAACTGGTGCATATTTCTATAAACTGCACTTTCACAATACTCTGTAATTTTCTGATCCTTGTTCTTTCTCCCATTAAATTTGGTTTCTTTCCCCCATTAAATGTGTTAATGAATGTCTTAAGGGTAAGGACCATGTTTTATCTTTGTATCTCTAGTGTCTGGAGAAGTATACTGCATGCAGTAGGTTCTCAAAATAAATGTATGTTGAGTGCAGGAACAAGTCAACGAAACATCAATAGTCGCTGTCAGATTGTTTGAAGCTCCAGACATGGTGATACATAGTAAACTGCTTTGAAATTCCTTGGAGAAATAGCAAGACAATAGGCAAGTTCAAGGGAGAAACAGTTAGTGGTGCCCTCCCAGTGTTGGTAGTTTACCTTTGCAGAGTCCTACAGTGGGTTTTCTTAGCATTCCCACTGACAAGCCAGAACAGCAGGTGGATAGTTTCATCCTCCTGTTACACATGAGAAAATTGCTTTTGTCCGAGTTTCATAAATTCTACAATTTTTTCCTGTATCATTTTTCCTGGATAAACGAGTCAGATCAGGATGCCTGTTTCCTTAAACAATCATGGTGCTCATATTAAAGGCCTTCATGGGAATATTCCATTTGAGAAATTACTATGGAGAAAAAATAAAGCTCATAAGTGCCTTATTTTCTCCTTTTTACTCCTTTATTTGACCTCCTAAAAATACCTACTTGTCACTTGGCTTTTGTGGTAGTCATGGGTGCTGTTTACCAGGTGTTGCCGCGGCCCACTACCCCCTCCCCATACAGCAGGATGGTATTTCCCTGTCCCCCTTGAAGTTAGACTGGCCGGTGACTTGCTTTGGGCAGTGAAATGTGAGCAGAGCGGTGTGTGTGTGTCACTTCCTGGTGGAAGTTCTAAGAGCCGGTGTGCAGTTCCCTACTTTGCCCTTCCCGTTGCACTGATGAGGGGTCAAACTGAAACCTCCATCAGCCTGAGGTCTCTGAGTAATTTCTATGAGTAATATATGTTCACATTCCTTATTGATGGGAAGTCAAAATGATCAAAGGAAACGCTTCTTTGAAGTGCCTTAGAGAAATAACTGGCTAGACGCGTGCATTTCAATTCCCCCCTTTCATTCAAAGACATTACTTCATAGTGCATTATGATCTGCGTGAGCAAGGGTGGCTTCAAAGGCCGATGCAAGATCAGCAGTCCTTCCCGGTGTAAACACAAGTCGACTGTGTCTTTCAGTAGCGCCTTTCACAGCCAATAGTCCCTGTCATTGTCAGGAACCCTAGACTCAGAATTACAAGTTTTGTTCAAAAAAAAAAAAAGGGCATTTCCTCCTCCATCCTGGGAGTTGTCTACAAGTTGTCTCTGCTCCCTTGTTCTTTGCATTTAGGCCACCCTCCATCTTTTGCCTCTCTTTTGTTCTTGGTATTCTACAGAGGCAGCCTGGGCACTTTATTTGCTTATATCCAGAGCTGGGCTGTGATGGATACCCCTAAAGTATGGGGGACTGGCTGACTCTTGGCTTCTGTGGCCACCTATCCTGCCTTGTCCCCTTGGAGCCAGGGCTGACCTTGGACGATGTATTGAGTAGGCTGACTTTGTTCTCAGACCCACACATCCCTCTTCACACTTGGGAGACCCCATTGCACAAGACTTCTGGGGGGATGGACTCTCCCGCTACACTTCCTAGCTATGTGGCCTTGAGCTTGAAACCTCTACACTTCAGCTTCTAGAGCTCTTGAATAGCTGGCACTAGTGCCTAGCTCAAAGTGATCATGAGGGTTAAATAACACAATCCGTATAAATGTCTGGCACGTCGTCATCCCTCCATAGGTTTTAACCTTTATTATTAGTGTACTGGTTTTAGAATTATTCAGATGCCAGTGACTGGCACGGCACAAATGTGAACCTCCTGGGCTGTGAGAAGCCTGGTGTCCATGGGGGGACAGACAGTGACAACAGAGAGCGCTCCTCAACAAGGCTCTGCACGCTCTGCTCACCTGTACATAGAAAGTGACTCTTCTGAAATCACAAACACTTCGTTTTTTTGTGAAAACAGCATTTTAGAAAGGATATCAGCCTTTGCTGGGGAGCCAAATAAAGGATGTTATTGAGCTCTGAGAAGGGGACGGCTGTTAGCCAGCAACTCCTCAGCAATGTGGGAAAATGAGAGAGTGGGACACGAAGCTGGGCAGTGCCCGCGATCGACGGAGTGAATGAGCTCGTCCACGTGTTCTGTGGGGAGAGGAAAACGTGGCTTGCGAAATGGTTTAGTTAATACTAAACATTTACTAAACAGCTAGCACAGGATTGCTTATCAAGCAAGGCGTGAAACTGTAGTGGAAGCGGGAAACCCACGAGTGGTGAGACACGGGCCTGTCTGAACGCTGCACTTTTCAGACTGAGGGGTTGGTGTAAGGTGTCCGACGTCAAGGTCAGCTTTCCTTTGTTGGGGTGTGTCTGCCTTCCACTTGGCCGATGGCCTGCTTGCAGGGAGGGCTCTGCATTCATCACTGTTCTCTCCCCCAAACTAGCTCAGTGCCTGGCGCATGGTAGGTGGTTGCCTAAGTGTTTAGCGAGTGAGTAATCGAGGGCACCCATCCCAGGAACCAGCTTCCAAGGTCTAAGCGGGACTAGCAGATAGAAAGCTTGTGCTAACACAGTCATCCAGGACCCCAGAGTTTCTGCCTGGGCACAGGATGGGTGGAGGCATGGGGGAAGGGAGGAGAGGAGAGGCCAGCCTTCCCCCAGGCTTCCAGTGGTGCAGTTGGGAAGTCTGCAGGGACTTTGAACCCAGCATTGAAAAAGCTTGCTGGTTCCACTGATGAAGATGCAGGCTAAGGTGGGCTAGAGACTCCTGGCAGAGCTACCAGGAGATTAGAGAGACCCGCAGCTTGGAGGGAAGAAACATGGAGCCACACTGGTAGCCACGCCTCTCAGACCTTACAAGGGCTCTCAGCCTTGGGGATTAAGTTCTCTGTGTTTAGAGCACATTGTAAAAGTTCTACCTCATTTGAGTCACCTCAGGCTCTTACCTGGATGCAATAGTGACCATTTATTGAGCACTTCTATGCTCAGCATTGTGCTTAGTGTTTTATCCACTTTATCTAATTTAATTCTCATAACAACCCCACAGGTAAGTACCATGATTCCCATTTTAAAGATGGGAACTGAGGCTTAGTAAAGTTAAGCTACTACTAAATTACAGATCAGGGATTCAAACTCATGGCTGCATGACTGTGACATCTTATGCCATCAACCACTAAGAAAAAACTTCTAGCTTTATTTTATTTTTAGGTTGGGGTATGTATGTGTGTAGATTTTAAATGTCTTCCCTCATTTTATGATTCTTCTGCAAATGTTGCTTTTAGAGCTCCTTAGCCATACCCTTAAATTTCTGGCCAGGTAGATACAGACTGAGGCAGACAGGTGTTGGGGTGGACCTTGTGATCTGTACCTCCTGAGGTCCCCACCTTCCTGAGTGTAGGCAGGACCCAGGACTTGGTTCTAACCAAAGAATATGGCAAAGGTAATGGAGTGTCACCCCATGATTATGTTAGCTCATGTAAGACTCTGTCTTCCCAGTAAACTCACAGTCTCTTTCTCTCTCTCGCTCTCTCTGTTGCCAACTTTGAAGAACTGAATTGCCATAGAATCCTACTGTGGCAGAAATATTCAGTAACCCAAGGGCATATGGACACAGAGCTTTCCGTGGTCAAGCCTCTGATGAGAACCCAGCCTTGACCAACACCTTGACTGCAACCTTGTGAGACCCTAAAGAGAGGACCTTGCTGAACTGTGTGCAGACTCTTGTCCTAAAGAATATATGATATAATGAATGTGTGTTGTTTTAAGCTTTTAAGTGTGTAGTAATTTGTTACATAGCATGGAAAACAAATGCACACATCATTGCTTGAAAGAAAAAAAAAGTGCTATTTGATGACAGGGCAGATACATCGGGTTCAGAGGATGGTACAAAGCTGTTCTTGGGTTTTGTCCATTGGTGGAAATCAATCCATGAGAATCCTCCTCCTCAGTGGGCAGCAGTAAGGCCTTTTTCTCTGATCTCTCTTCCTTTGTTCTCCAGCCAGTCCTCTCACTCCCAGCTGTCCTTGCTCATAGACTCTCAGTGGAACTGGGCAGAAGGGGAGAGTGTCTTAGTCCCTTCAAGCTGCTATAATGAAGCATCATAGCCTGAGGGGTTTCTAAACAACAGAAATTTTATTTCTCACAGTTCTGGAGGCTGGGAAGTCTAAGATCAAGGTGCTGACAGCTTCAGTGTCTGGTGAAGGCCCGTTTCCTCATAGACCCCTGTCTTCTTATTGTAACTTCAGGTGGTAGAAGGGACAAGGGATCTATCTCTTATCTCTCCAGGGCCTATTATTAGGGCACTAATTTCATCTCAAGGGCCCCACCCTCATGACCTCATCTAACCCTAATAACCTCCAAAGGCCTCACTTCCTAATACCATCACCTTGAGGGGTAGGATTTCAACACACAAATTTTGGAGGAGACACACATGTTCAGTCCACTGCAGAGGGTTCAAGTCCCTTCCATTATACCCATCAGAGGGGGAATAAAGAAAGATGATATGGCCTTGGGGTGACACATCTACAAGACAAACCTATCTTTCTTTTATAGATATTAATCACTTCTAATCATGTATTTCTCTGCAGTGTAATGCCAGGAGTTTCTGTTTTTCTCTTCCATGTTACCAAAGACTTTCTTCTATTATTTTAGTTCATGTAAAACAGGGTCTGATTAAATTTTTAATTAATTACCTCACCCCCCTTCTTTCCCCTCATGAATGAGGAAAAAGAAAAAAATTCTATCGGGCCTGACCTCTTATCGGAAAAGAAGGTTTTGTATTCCTGAGAGGAGGGAAACTGCAGGTTAAAGGCTAAATTCCTTTGTCTGTAATATAATCATAAAGCCTTTTTTTTTTTGGAAGGATCAAATAAAGCCTGTGTTTAAACCGACTGCATGTGCAAATACAATCGCTGTCCCTCTTGCTGTGACAAGTTTGTGCTGGCTGAAGCTTGAAGCGTTCTGAGGCTGGAGCTCACAGGGGTTTTGGGCAGAGAGCTGATCCTGGGCAGAGGGCAGGTGACCTGCTGACTGCATACAGATTCCCTCCCTGCAAGCAAAACAACTGCCCCACTGCCATTTGTCACCGGGCTCCATGGGGGTGGTAGGGGAGCGTGTGTTTTGCCTGCTTTGTTGGAAGGAGGAAAGGGAGGGTTGCTCTGTCCGGGATGAGGAGGCAAAGGTGGCATTCCTGTGTTGTTGTTGGAGCCCTTTGCATGAACAACCTCACCTGTCAAAACACGATGAGAAATAGAAGTAGAACAAAAGAGAAAGAGGCAGGAACCGATGAGAAGATGGATTGAACTAAACCGAGGCCTTAAAACACAATCTGTAAAATGTCTGATTGCATTTCATTTTATAGCTGCTTGAACACTCTGTGTTTGTGTGTGTGTGTATGTGTAGTCATATATTTATCTTATATAACTAACCGTGAAATTATTATAACTAACCGTGAAATTATTATAACCATGATATTTCTAAATACTTTCACCAGTGTAGATATAATCATAAACACGTAATTCCTGGACAACAAGGATCAGACATTAACTTGCTTTATGCAATGTCCTTCGCCACCCAACTATAAATTTCCAGATCTTTAAGATACAGTTTTATAAACAAAGTGCTTTCATATAATTATCTCATCGAATAGCCTGAACATTAGCTCACCCAATTCTTCTCTGAGGACTCCAGAACTTCTACTCTTCACTTCCAGGCCAAGTCTAACAACTGTGTGTCCTTTAGAATTTCATGACGCCCAAGTGCGACTCCGTCACTGGGCCCCTGCTCTCCAATCTGACTCAAAGCCTTCTCCCTGCTCCCAGTATTTCTGAAACCGCCCGCCTACCTCCTGCCCTGTGAGCAGCTAATGCAGCATTTTCTCCAAATATTCCCTTCACCTGTTCGCAGAGACCCAGAAGTCCCTTGAGGACATTTCTTCCCTCACTGCCTCTTCAAGGGTAGGATAGTTTTTTTGTTTTGTTTTGTTTTGTTTCTTTCTCATGTCCCTCTTTGTACTTTAAGGCTGAGAAGTAGAAAAAAGCATCTTCCTGGCTTCCCATTTTTGATTGCGAAGCCTTTTCCCCCTCTCTCTTGAAACAACCCCTTTTGCTCTTTTCCCTTCCCCTGGACCAGTCATTGCCAGAACTCTGCTACCTCCCGCTCATTGAAGAAATACTGGAGCCCCTGACCAAGGTGCTTCCTTTCCATCCTACTCCTGCAGCACTCTTTGACCTCAGCTCTCACAGGGCTCCCCTCTGCACCCCAACATCCCAGTTTCTTAACCTCTTCACCCTGCTCTACTCCATTTCAGCCACCCCACTCTCTTGGCCACCACGGGGCCTTGGTTCACAGCACCAGTAATTGCTTTCTTTCTGAAGTCTCCAGCTACAACCTCCTTCCTAGTTATCAGCTGACTTGCTTTGTATTCATAGCTACTTTTATTTTTCTTTATGAGTGGAATCTACCATTATAAAAGAATTATCTGTAAGCCTTCTCCCATCTCCATTTTCTCCTTCATCTGACTTAGAGTTCATATCCATTGATATCACTGCCTTAAAAATATTCTTGGGGCTCATTGGATATTCCTAGACAGAAATAAATCTTGTACCTTAAACAAAAATTAACTCAAAATTGGTCACAGATTTAAATGTAAAACTACGAAACTTTTAGAAGATAACATAGAAGACGATCTTTGGGACACAGTGCTTGATGAAGTGTTCTTGAATATGACACCCAAAGCATGATCCATTAAAAAAATTGATAAATTGGACTTCATCAAAATTTTAAAGTGTTATTCTGCAAAAGACCTTGTTGAGTATAAAAAGACAAGCTAAAGACTAGAAAATAATACTTGCAAATCCACATATCTGACAAAGGGCTAGTATCTAGAATATTTAAAGAACTCTCAAACTCAATGTTATGGCAAAAGAGACCTGGAGAGTTTTCATCTGTGAGGATATGTAGATGGCAAACAGGCTTTTGAAGTTATGTTCAATATCTTTAGCCATTAAGGGATATGCAAGTTAAGATCATCACTATATACAAATTAGAACTGCTAAAATGAAAACTAATGATAACATATTGATGTAAATAAATGGTTGAATAAATAAATAATTATAAGAGAATGGACAAATCTTCCATGCAGAAGAATTTCAAATAATATATGAGAGAACTCTATCTTCAAGGAAGTGGAGCATACTTCCCACTCCTTAGGTGTGAGTTATACACAGTGACTTCCTTCCAAAGAGCACGGTAGGGGAAGGGTCTTTGGAAAAAGAGTAACTTTATAATGAAGAAATCTAATGAACAGTGTCTCAGCCAGGGGAACATAGTCAATATCAAAGTGATAAGTTATGTTGACAGCATGGATCTTTGAGATATGATATGATAAGAACAGCACTTGACCTGGGTAGTCTTCCTCCTCAAAATCCACAACCCCAGCCTAGGCATGAGCAAAACATTATAAAACACCAGGAATTCAAGTGCTGTGGATTCTTGGATAACATGAGTTTGAACTACACGAGTCTACTTATATGCAGATTTTCTTCCTCTTTTGCCACCTCTGAGACAGCAAGACCAGCCCCTCCTCTTCCTCTCCCCCCTCAGCCTTCTCAATGTGAAGACAATGAGGATGAAGATCTTTATGATGATCCATTTCCACTGAATGAATAGTAAGTACATTTTCTGTTCCTTAAGATTTTCTTAATAACATTTTCTTTTCTCTAGCTTACTTCATTTTAAGAAGACAGCATGTTATACATATGACATATACAATATGTGTTAATTGCAGTTTATGTTGTTAGTAAGGCTATTAGGAGTTAGGTTTTGAGTCAAAAGTTAATATATACGCAAATTTTCAACTTCCCGGGGGGTGAACACCCTTAACCTCCAAGTTGTTTAAGAGTCAACTGTATATGTTGCATAGAGACTCAAACCCAACTTTTCTGTCTCTAAAGCCAGTGCATTTTCTACTATGTGTGACTTACAGACAAACAGAAAGGTGCTTTTTGATTGATGTGAACTAACCTTCATCCGTGAGAAGTCTCAGGCTGCTCTCGATCTCACACCATTCAGGGATTCAAAGACTAAACAACCCACACCACTGGTTCCCAAACACTGTCTAGTAAAAGGTTTTCATTTGCCCACAGAACCCCTATTGTAGCAATTCCCAGCTTGCCTCTATAAGGCAATGAGTGCCATAGTGGTTTTGCTCTGAAAGTTAGGAGCAGTAACTGGGACGAGCCTTCAGCCTTCATCTCACAAGGGGCCAAGTAGCCCACCTGACCAGGCTCAGCGGGCCTTCCTACCTGCGTGGTAAGCAAGGTGAAACGGAGGGCTTGGGAATGTGGGAACTACTGTTCCTTAGCATCTTGGTTTGCCTAGACTATTTCAAATGAACTGAAACAGTATTGAGACCGACGTTTTCATTTTTGCTCATATCTGCATAAAACAGAATTTTGGGTAGTGACACTGATAAAAATGAAACACCAAAACAAGTTGCATATTAGAGCTTTTTCTCATGGGTGATATCAAATATCAAGGTATCAAATACACACAGTACAATAAAATTAAAAGAAAACTTATACCAAGGAAACATAACATATGTTGTATTATAAAATAAGTTTTAATGTTGTAAATGTCTCTGCATTTATATAAAACTATAAATATATCCTTTAAAATTATCCATGGTCAACAAATAGTATTTCTTGGGAAGAGCTCTCTTTTGTTCTGACATTATGAACTTTCTACATTTTTTGGTGTTGAAATATCC